CCAAAAGTACCTCGACCTCCAGATGAGGTCCCACTGAATCCACCTGAGTGACGAGGCCTCTTGTCAGACCCCTGACCACTCCCTTGAGCTAAAACCATCTCAACTCATCTGGCCACATTGGCTGCATCCTGGAAGGATATCTCACTCCATGTCTCCTTAGCCATCTGCAATCTGATAGGCTGAGCAAGTCCCTCAATAAACCTCCTCACCCTCTCTCTCTCGGTGGGAAGTATAATAAGAGCATGACGGGCCAAGTCCACAAATCTAGTCTCGTACTGAGTGACGGTCGTGGAACCGTGCTGAAGGCGCTCAAACTGCCTCTGATAGTCCTTTCTCTGAGTGATAGGATGATACTTCTCCAAGAATAGCTGCGAGAACTGGTTCCAAGTGAGAGCTGGTGACCCAGCTGGTCTGGCCAAACAATAATCTCTCCACCATTTCTTGGCGAAACCTGAGAGACGGAAAGCAGCAAACTCGACCCCATTGGTCTCCACTATCCCCATGTTCTGAAGAACCTCATGGCAACTGTCCAAATAGTCCTGGGGATCCTCTGAAGATGTACCGCTATAGGTAGTAGTGAAGAGATAAGTGAACCTGTCCAACCTCCACAAAGCATCTGAAGACATAGCTGCTCCATCACCGGTCTGTGCTACAACACCCGGCGGGGCTACCCCAATTGGTTGAGCTGCTGGAGTCTGAAACTGGGGAGCCATCTACTCCGGAGTGTGAGTAGCGGGAGTCTGTGCTCCTCCCCCAGCCCGAGAGACGGTTGGTGCTACCGGAAGTATGCCTGCCTGGGTGACACTCTCCATAAGGCCCACGAGACGGACCAGAGCATCCTGAAGCACCGGGGTAGCTATGAACCCCTCTGGAACCCGAGCTGGGCCCGCTGGAACGGTCTGGGCTGGAATCTCGTCATCAAACTCAACGAGAGGCTCCGCCGCTGGTGCTGCTGCTCGAGCTCTGGGCTGAGCCCTGCCCCTACCTCGGCCTCGTCCTCTACCCCTCGTAGGAGCTGCCACTGGGGGCTCGGGCTATTGATCAGCTGATGAAGTGGTACGTGTTCTCGCCATCTGCGAAAGAACAGAGTAGAAGTTCAATTAGCATTGAGAGATCAAACCGCACGACATAGATGAATATAAGTGAAATTGTTCCTAACTCAATAGACTCTGGGGGATAAGCACAGATGTCTCTGTACCGATCCCTCGGACTCTACCAAGCTTGTTCGTGAATTGTGAGACCTAGGCAATCTAGTGATCTGATACCAACTTGTCACGACCCGAATTTCCCACCGTCGGGACCGTGATGGCGCCTAACATTGTACTCGCTCGGCAAGCCAACATTACAGAATGTTTCACCTTTTTCCTTTGTCTTTTAATAATTAAAACTCAACAAAAGTAAACCAGCAGAAATAAATGCGAAAGAACACAGTTCAAAGATTTTCTTTTAACTAATAGCGAAAACCGAAATAAACTCCACCCAGAAACTGGTGTCACAACTCACGAACAGTCCACGAATACTACAAACATTGGGTTGAAAGAAAAATATACATCAGTCTCGAAGAAAAGTAAAATAGAATGCAGTAAAGATGGAAGAAAACGCTAGGGCCTGCGGACGTCTGCAGGACTACTTTGGGTCTCCGGAAAGCAGTGATAGCGACCAACCTCACGATCAGCCACTAGCTCCGAAATCTGCACAAAAGTGCATAGTGCAGTATCAGTACAACCGACCCCATGTATTGGTAAGTGCGGAGCCTAACCTCGACGAAGTAGTGATGAGGCTACGGCGGGGCATACAACATATACAACCTGCAACAGTTTATACTAAACAGAAAGGAAATACAGAATGTAATAAAGCAATAACTGGCATTAAATAAATTCGGAACCCGATTGTTCTATCAGTATTCAGCGATAACCAATCCTTAAGGGTGTTTCGACATCACAGTAATGGACCTCAACAGAAATGAATACATAACAACAACTGATGCGGCGTGCATCCTGATCCCATCATATAAACAACAACAGTATCAATAATCACCCTTATTGCTCCTTGTTGCGGCGTGCAACCCAATCCCACCAGTCCACCCTTATTACTCCTCACTGTATCACCATTATTCCTCCTATTGCGGCACACAACCCGATCCCACCTGTCCACCCTTATTACTCCTCACTGTATCACCATTATTCCTCCTGTTGCGGCGCGCAACCCGATCCCACCAGACAATCACATTCACCCTTATTCCTCCTGTTGCAGCGTGCATATATATATATATATATATATATATATATATATATATATATATATATATATATATATATATATATATATAACAGCACAAATCACAAGATAAAGACAAGTGTTTCAAAATCAACTCAAATCCTCCACAACACCTATTCCTCAAACCAACACAATGGAATATCACTACAACTGTAAAACTTTACCAGTTTAACTATACAGTGAGACCAACCTAGGTGTACCATGAAACACCAACAACCAACATGATCCAACAAGTTAATAAAATGAAGCTACGAACAAATAATTCTTCAATAGGAAAATCAACAGTTAACATGAAACAATTAGACATGGAAGCATCGATAAGCAAGTAGCAATTAAGGCAGGAAAGAAAGATATAGGGAAACGGGGAAAGGAAATAGGCTAAACAAGTAATTTAGCGACGCATAGGTACTCGTCACCACACCTATACGCCACACACATGATATCTCACAGAGCAAGCAAGTCGGGGATCCCTAATCCCTCAAGTCAAGGTTAGACCAAATACTTACCTCAAGCCAATGGGTATTTCAAAGCTCAATCATCGCTTAACCTCTCGATTCCACCACCAATTCACTCGTATCAAGCAATAATTAACTTAATAACATCAATAGACGCTAAAGAAACCAATTCTAATGCATAATCAAAGATTTCCCAATATTTTCCCCAAAAAGTCAAAAATCGACCCCGGGCTCGCTTGGTCAAAAATCGATGTTCGGACCAAAATTCGATTACCCATTCACCCCCAAGCCCAGATATGCAATTGGTTTTGGAATCCGACCTCTTCCCCAAATTTCAAAATTCCCAAATTTCACCCAAAAACACATAATTTCCCATGAAAGTCCGTAGATTTTGTGATGAAATCTTGTAAAAAGATGGAATAGATTGAAAGAAATGAGTTGGAAATCATTTACCTATGATTTGGGGAAGAACTCTTCTTTGGAAAATCTCCTATGGGAGCTTAGGGTTTGAAAGTTTGAGAAATGAGTTTAAAATCCCGTCTAAGTCATGTTTTGATCAGTTGCAGATGTCGCATTTGCGACAGGAGCTTCCCAATTGCGAAGCTCGCAAATACGAGACAAGCATCGCAAATGCGAACCTGCTGCATGTCTGCTACTGTCGCAATTGCGAACCTTTGGTCGCAATTGCAAAGGTTGCCCCTCCCTGATTACTTCGCAAATGCGAAGGTATGTTGGCAAATGCGAACTATGCTGCCCAGGGCTTCTTCGCAATTGCGATAAAACCCTCGCAATTGCCAAGCCTGTGAAGCTCACAAATGCAAAGCCTGATCTCGCAATTGAGATCAGAGGCCTGCAACAAATACCAGATGCAACCGCAGATTTTCTAAGTCCAAACTCACTCCGTGGCCTATCCAAAACTCACCCGAGCCCTCGGGGCTCCAAACCAAACATGCACACAAGTCTTAAAACATCATACGAACTTGCTCGCGAGATCAAATTGCCAAAATAACATCTAGAACTATGAATTCAAAACCAAAACTCATAACATTTTCAAGATAGTTCAAACTTTCTAATTTCTCAATCGATGGTCCGAATTACGTCAAATCACTTCCGATTTTCACCAAATTTCACAGATAAGGCTTAAATATTGAAACGGATCTGTACCGGATTCCGGAACCAAAAACGGGCCCGATACCAACAATATCAAACATTATTCAATTTCCAAAAACCATCATATTTTTCAGTTAATAATTTTCTTCAAAAATTCATTTCTCGGGCTAGGGACCTCGGAATTCGATTCCGGGCATACGCCCAAGTCCCATATTTTACTACGGACCTTACGGGACCGTCAAATCACGGGTCCGGGTCCGTTTACAAAAAATATTGACCGAAGTCAACTTTAATCAATTTTAAAGGAAAAATTCAATATTTTTCTTAAATTTCACATAAAGGCTTTCCGGAAACGCACCCGAACTGCGCACGCAAATCGAGGAGAAAGAAAATGAGGTTTTCAAGGCCTCGGAACCCGAAATCGGATTCTAAAACAAAAGACGACCTCTTGGGTCATCACAGAAGAACGTTGAGATTTTAGTCTAAACTATTACTTACTTTTTTTATGTGGTGCGTCTATTTTTGTTCTTTAAATATATCACTAAGCATTTTTAATCCCTTAAGTTTACTAGAGTGGAGGCCGGTGATCCTAGAAGATTAATCCCTTAAGCATTTTTAGGGCCCGTTTGGCCATAAGATTTTTCATTGTTTTCAGAAATTTTTTTCACTTTTTTCTGGAATTAGTGTTTGGCCACGAAAATTTCACATCTAACTTGAAGTAGAATTTCAGAATTTTTTGGAATTCAAAAAACTCCAAAAAGCTCTTTTTCACAATTTTCACTTTAAATCAGTCGCAAAAATTCAAAAATAATTTCAATTTGTATTCATGTCCAAATACAACTCCAATTTTCAAATACCATTTTTAAATTTAAAAATATTTTTCACTTTTTTCGAAATTTCACAATACTTACGTCCAAACGTCCACTAATATGTTTGTGATGCAATAAGAACAGTCTACGGCTTATGTAGAGTTTTAATTAGTACATCAACGACAAACTCTTTTTCTTTCAAGACTAAAATATATAAGCGTATAAGACATTTTAGTTGAATATATAAGAGATGCAAGTATAAAAATGGACATTTTCTTTTCGTCAAGCATCAATGTCAGCTATATATATATATTATATATTCAACATTTAAAATAAAAACACGCATAAGGACACAAAATACAAAACAAGTAAAACCAAACCATAGATTTGATTATACATTTTTCTTCCTTTTCACTCTTTTTTTTTATTTTCTCTCTTTTTTCATGTCCTAAGAAGAAATATACTAAGCTCAGGTCCTCCATTCCCATCAAGATTCATCATATAAAAAGCTTCCGAGTCACGATTCCCTACGACTCGTTCAAACCTAGCTCTCATATACAACAACTCACCTTCCGACTCACTGCACTTCGGGCCATCGTCCACCACCGGAATCACTCCGGCTCCGACTGATACGTTCTGCACGGTTCGCAACACGTGCCAGTCGGAGTCCGTACACGCGCGTGAAAGCGCGTAACCGCATTTCCTGCCGTTGCAATACATAGTCCACCTAGGTTCTTGGAAGAGCCTCATGTGCCGGCTGCCACGTGGTGCTTTCTCGCACTCCAGCGCGATGCGGACAAGGCCCGATGACATGTCTTTGACTAAAGTAGACGTAGAGATGGCAAATTCAATCAAAAGAATCGGTTCTGACGTGGGATTATTTTGAATGGCGAAGCTGACGTGGCCTCTCCGATGACCGAATAAAGTTCCGGTGAATTTCCGGCCGAGGGAGATGGGTATAACAGAGAGATTGGGCGAGAGATTAAGCCACATGCACGTAGGAAGTATTGTGGGGAATGAGATAATTCTTAGAAAAGACTTGAGAAAATTAAAGTTGACTCCCCCAGTACGGCTTTTGTGAATAATAGGTGAATATGAGAAATTATTATTCTCAAAGGGGTCGTTAAAAATAGAATTTGATTTTTGGTAATTGGATGGAATGATCAACTTGTTTGAGCTATTGCAGCTGCTTGTTCTTGGAAGGGTAGATTCATATTGTCTCATTGTAAAGGAGAAAATGAGACAAAAGAGAAATCTGTATGTACAAAGAATAAAGGAGATAAGAGGGCGACAAGATGATGATAATGTTTGGAGGTGGACAATATATATATATATAAAGAGAAACTGTCAACGTTTGTGCTGTTTAAATAATGCTAATCATTTCATGCATGCCTCTGCTGAATCTTTATTAATGTCAAATTGTTAAAAAAATAATACAATAATTATTACTTCCCTGTCTATACTTTTTACTTTTCGAGAGTTATTTTGATTAGATCAATTTAATATTTTTAAAAATTTAAATATTTATTAAAAATTATGTGAAAAGTATTATAAGATGCATTTTTTTACGTTAAAATTAAAAAAAATATTCTAAAATATGGATGAAAATTCACATAGTTAGAATCTCAAAATGCAACAAGTGCAACATAAATTAGAACAGAACGGGTAATAAAAACTACTCCCTCCGATCCACTTTAATTAATTTTTTGATTTCTTTTTGTGGTCCATAATATTTAATTTTTTTATAAATAATTAAGGTTAATATGATTAATTTTATTATTAGTTAATGCTAAAAGGTGAATTACTTAATATGTAAGAAATCGTCAAAAAAAAATAATTAAAGTGGATCGGAGGGAGTAATTTTAATAACCTGAAAAATAGAGGTAAATTATCTGTCAAATCAAGCTAAAATACTCGAAATTGTTATATTCTCTGTATATATAAGATAAATCCAAATATTTGAATTATAAGTAATTTTTAAGGAGCGGTGATGATTAAGTGGTCCAGCAACGCATAATCAGGATTACACGTGCAGCCGTTTTGATGATTATAATTTAAGAAAAGCGTTGTTCCTTTGCCGGCGTGACTGTGATAGACTGATCTTCGCCAAGAATGGACGGCTGGGATTGAATAATGAGATAGAGCATGAGTACTCTTTTGGTGGACCTCAATTATTCGCTGCTGCCTCAGTTTAATTGACTGTTGATCGTTGATCGTCAAGCATTAGTAGGCACGTGTCTTTTTCTTAATAATAACAATAACCACGTCTTAATACCAAATAAATTGAAATCAGCTTTATAAATTTTTATTTTATTTAAAGTCAATTCACATCATTATCATATCAAATAAAAAAAAAAAATTCCTCAACAAAGTATTATCGTGGGGGAGGGACGGAGGGTGCAATTCAGGAGATCTCATCGTTTTTTAAATTGCTGCCCTATTATATCTATGACGAACATTTACTAATGGATACTAATTTTGCTTAAGAAAATTTGATTACTACTATAATATACGGAAAATTTAATTGCTACTACAATGTACGTTTACACTTTGTTTGGATCATTGTTCCCCATCATTTTATAATATATTGTATTGTATTGTATCGTATTGTTTCGTATCGTTTTATGAATACAATATTTGAATAGATTGTATTGTTTGTTATTGTTAAATAATATTTTGCTGTTTGATATGACTGTATCGTACTGTACTGTAGCTGATAAATTTACTAAAATACACTCAATTATTTAAATATTAAATTTATCAAACAATATGCATAAAAATAATTTTAAAAAACAAAACAAAAGAAGGCAAAACACCTTAAGAAAGCAGAACAAAAGAGTGAGACAGAAGAAGACAAAACAAAGGAGCACAGCTAATTAGAATTGAGTTAAAAGCAAATTAGGAGAAAAAATAAAACAGAAGGCGGCAAAACACCTTTAACGTTGGCAGCCGAAGTTCTGGAAAAAAATAAAGTAGTTTATAGGTTGGAGATTTGGAATTAAAATAGCAAAAAAAGCTAAAGGGATAAAATATAATTGTGGAGTAATAAGTTAGGGCATAATTGGAAAGAAAAATAGGAAACAATCCCACCACACCAAATCGGTTGTTTCAACAAAGGGGACTTTTCTTTGTTCCGGAACAATGGATTTAACAATACAATACAACTAATTTTAATAAAACAATAAAAACAAACATTGTTTCGAGATGACAATACAATACGATACAATGGGGAACAACCATCCAAACAAGCTGTTAGTGTATATACTAATTAAATTCAGGGATTAGTTTTATTTTACCATCCTCCCTAACTATGGGTGCGTAGTAGATGATTACTGATCAGTGCCTCTCACCCCCAAACAATGGATAGTACTACTAGATCATATCACTTTAGTTGACAACATAATTATAACTAAAATTTGGCGATTTTGATGAAAACAAACAATGCAAAGATAGAAAGTGACATGCATGAGGAGCATGCAGATGGTCAAACGTAAAATTTATATGCATGAGAGAGGCCACTATGTCGAGGTCCATTTGGTCGGGATATATGCCAAAAAGTACACGTAAATTCAGAATTTAAATTTAATGTATTTAATTTTATAATGAATCCATTACACTTTATAATTATAAATTCAAAATTTAATTTATTTTTAAAAGTAAAATATTTTTTTTTTACATATATATGCATACTCCATGACTAAAACAATGAATCAGTTGAACCTGTTACTTATATACTACATTCGGGTCAAAAAAGTGTGGGTGGCTAATTTTTGAACAGGTAATAAAAAATAACTAGTATTTGTAAAGTAATTGAAAAATAGTCAGTATTTAATGTGGAGACAAAATATGGATAAAAATACCCTTAGCTGAAACACATAAAAAAAATTAAGCATAGTTTGCTCGATTATGGAACTCTTGTGTAAAAAACTCCAACATATTATATAAGAACCCGAACACATTATGAATTCCAACACTTTATGCTGGAATATTATATGTAAAAATTTCAAACTCTGGCATATTATGTTGGAACTTTTTCGGTTTTTAACTAAGAATACTTTTATTCAAATTTTATTTTTTTTATAAAAAATAACTAAATTTCAATTAATTTTTAAATTATGCTAATTTTAGTTAGCAATTGTAAATCGAGCTAATTCTGAATTTTCCCCTACATTCGAAACCGTCTTAGCCCTTTTGTAAAAGGAGAAGTCCTTTCGATAATGAACGTAGTTGATAAAAATAATTAAATTACTAACAAGTCAACTAAGTAAATAAAATCTTCACTCACTTTATAATTTAACATAGGGACGGTTCCAAATAGGCTTTGTTTGGGTGCTATGGCCAATAAGATTGGTGGCCTAACCCAATTTAAGGGGCAAGATTCAATTGACTATCCTTATCTTTACTAGTAGACATTAATCTCTTTTTCCACAAGCATTTGTCATCTTCTTTTGACTCAACATCTCCATTCACCCTTTATTTAATTCAAGCTAAAACGTCATGGACTTTAAATCTTACATTAGGGCTAGTTCTATTATTATAGTAGAGAAAATTATTATCAAATTTGCTTGAAAAAGTAAAAGGCATTAGAGATTGGTTTGTGTGGGTTCCCAACTTATAGGGCCAAGATTCATGAAGTCCTTGTCCCTTTAAATCTTACGAGGGCTAGTTCAATTATTATAATTATTTCCTTCATTTGGCAAATCACAATGAATCATGATCATCATCATATTTAAAATCAAATTACGTACTAAAATTGATAATACTTGATTGTCACACTTTTTTCTTTAATAATGTACCCAGACAAGTTAAATTATTCTTATGAAGTGTCACAACATACTAAGTTTTAGTTAAGAACTTTATTGCTTTTAAGAATTTTAATATCACATTTTCGACATGAGAATATGTAAGGGATAATGATGGAAATATTTTCCTCAAGAAAGTAATTTTTGTCTTCTCGATATGTTTTAGAGACAGGAGTTTTATATGGTCAATAAGTAAGGGAAATTAATTAAAAAGGGTAAAATGGAAAGGCCTTCTCCACCGTAACAAATATTATAAACAAAGGGTTCAATAAAATATATAGACGTGCAGCCGTAATACAACAATAGTGATTAAATTTAATCCACAATAATATGAACTCTTCGTCACTTACGTGATTAATCAAAAGTCAGGATTAGACAACACATGATGATACTTAATTAAAAGAATTTATTAAAGAGAAATTATGTGCATTTTAAAAGAAGGGACGACCATAAATATAATATCCTTTTGTAGGTCTTTAATATATGTTAACATCATTTAATAGGAGAATGATGACACTTAGAAAATAATTCTAATTACTATAATAAATCATCTAAGGTGACATAACTGTACGTGTATTGGTTTGACAAAATGGTTGCCCTTTATCATTTGTATTTGAAATGAAACTGGGAATTCATTGATTATTAGACATAGCTTATTATTTTAATTAAAATAGAACCCTAACAAACTAAATATATCAAGGGTGGCCATTGCACAACCACAAAAATGTTTGGACGGAATATAAAAAAAGAAAAGAGAGATTAATATAATCCTTTCCAAGGTTGATTGGTCTGTTCATTTCCACCTTTTTCAACAAGCTAGTTCGAGCTTTAGTCATAGCTTGACAATTAACAAAAATAATTAATATTATGAAAAAGAAATATAAATTTGACTTGATATTGCTTAGCTACATATAATTAGCTAGTAATTAAGAAACAATATTATTAATGTAGAAAAGAGGGTTTTAGTTGTTGTAGACATTGAAAATTTGTCAAACTAGTGCATACATTTTTTGGACTAGGGCTTCTACAAGATGATCCCATTAAGGTTACTTGGTCGCTACTTCACCCAAACCCTATTTCATGTCTATAAATAAGGCTACATATGTCCTTCAAAAACAATCTATAAACTCTCGAAGTATAAGAAATCAAATATATAATCTCTGTAATACCATAAACAAGATCCAAATAGAGTGCTGCTACATGCTTCTTGATCATCAAATACATCAAGGAGATGCATATAATCTTACGTTCGAGAAATACCCGTTAAGGCACTCGAATTACGGATAACAAATCGGATGGAAGAATCTAGAATAAACAGAGTTGTAACTCGCAATGTTTATCAATAAAATCCATTTTTCTTTATAGTTGTTGGTGATTACAGTTTTATTTTTCTAACACAAATTTATTGCAAACAGTTGTGAAAGAGAGTTGTGTCATAAAAAAAAACATTACTACTCTAAGACCATTATTGGACTTTGAGAATCATTAGAAGTGCATTCAATCTTAGGTATTTTCCTCTTCTGGCTTGTAGCAACTGA